AGGCAAATTTGTTCTTACAAAACAACTTTCTCAAGTTAATTCATTTCTCAAAACAAATATTATCAAAATTGTATTAAGTTTAAGATGAATATGTTCACTTTAAAAATAATAATTAGACTTTCATTTAAATTCAAATAAATAATCTTTAAAAATAGTTTTGGTTTGAGAAATATAAAAACATAAAGCAAAGTTAGTTTAAACTTTGAGAAATATTTACAAAGAATTGTCAATCTTATAAATTTGTATTTTTGATATAAACATTAACATCAATATTTTAAAATAAATTTTCAAGATATTTTTCAAATCGAATATCACTTTGAAAAAAATCATTTATTTAGTACTAAAAATAATAAAACTTTGAACATGTACTAAATAATTTTTTAAAAATTTTTTAATAAAGTTTATTTAACTTAATATCTTGCCATTTTAAAATAAGTGTCAATTTAAGATTAATAATATATTTGATTAATTTAAAAAATATGGATGAAATGAGTTTAAAAAATTATTTTATTATTATAATTTATTATCAAATTTATTATTTAATAAAAATGAATAAAATACTAATAATAATTTAATATAAAAATTAAATATTGTTAATTGATGTAATATTAATAATATTAAATATTAAAAACTTAATTTGTAATAATTTAAAAATATTAAATATTATTTTAATAATATTCAATATAAATATAATAATACTCAATATTAATTTAATATTAGTATATATTAATTTAATAATATTAACTATGATTTAATAATATTAAATATTATTTAATAATCTTAAATATTAATTTAATATATTAAATATTAATTTAATCATAATATTTTTAATATTATTTTCATTCTAAGTATTAATTTAATAATATTTTAATATTTTGTATTAAAATATTATTTAGTATTAAAATATTGTTATTCACTTGATAAACCAAGAATTGCAATTTTTTGTTTTTAAGTAATTAACATTCATGAAATGGTTATTTTTATTAAAAAAAAGCAATGAAATAAAAATAAAATAAAAAATCGAGATAATAGAATGCAATTCCCCAACCAATCGTGCAATTAGTCATTCAAGTCAGTTTCTGGAACAAGATATAATTAGTAGATTGAATTCAGAGGGACAGGGGATGAGCACGAGTGAGATGGATTAACTTAGACTTTTCCTGGGAATGGCATCTTCTGTCCTTTGCTTCTTCATGAGGCCTCCTGGGAGTGGCTTTTGGGCCGTTATGGGCCTAGCAGTAGTAACAACAATAAAAAAGAGTGAAAATTATCAATTACGGATTCGTTCAATTAGTTAAGCTCATCTTTTTTGATGAAAAAGTCTTGAGTTCAAGTTTTGAGTCATCTCGAATATACGATTTGCAATCACATGTCTTAAGTTATCAAATACAATACATATTGCTTTGACTTGAAAAATTGAACAATCTATTCATCTCATCTCTGAATTTTTTTTTTACAAAAAAAAAAAATCGAAGTAAATAAATATTTTATAGTAATAAAGAAATATGTTTGCCACTTTATTGTGCAAATTTAATACTGAAAATTAAATATTAGAATTTTAGTTATGAAAAATTTAAGTACTGAATTTATGATATAAAATATGTTTTTTATGTTACTTAAAATAAAATTTAAGTAAAATTTTTATTAATCTTTTTATAAAAATGAGATATAATTTTATAATTATTTTTAATTGATAAAAATTAAAAAAAAAAGTAAATTGTCAAAAAAATATAAAATTGATGCAATTAGATAACATTTTTTCTTTAAATAAAGTTAATATATTAAGAAGCTAAAAAGCTACTTGTCATTTTCAACTCTTTTTTATTGAAAATTTAAAATTAAGTGATTTTTAAAAATGATTTATCAAACACATTTAAAATATAAAACCATTGAAATTTTCAATAGTTTATAAAAACAAAGAAATTAAGAAATGAAATAGGTTACCATTAAGAATTAAGCGGTGTTTGTTTGTAAATTTTTAGATTTTAGGAGAAAAAGTAATTTCAAAAGAAAATGATATTAAAAGAAAATACATGATTTTTGAATTTTGTTGATATAAGAAGTGTAAGATTTTTATGTTTAATTTAGAGGAATGTAAGATAACTTAGCAAAGTCTTTTATTATATTATACTTGATAACATGTGAATAACACCTAACATTCATAATAGTTGTATTTATATTACCTATTATTTATTTAATATGTAAATGATTCATTTATTTACTTATTTAACATGTAAATGATTTATTTAATATTTATGCAATTAACCAATAATTACAAATTACAAAAAATAGACCACATTTTTTTGAAGAAAAATGTAGTCTTTAATTATCTTAAAAACATGATTTTTGTTGAAACTTAAGAGCTAAAAAAATAAAACTTTTATAATATATTTTCAACGAAAATTACGTTTATAATTTTAAAAACATCTTTGTTGAAACTCAAGAAGTAATAAAATTAAATTTTTTATAATATATTTTCAACAAAAACTATGTTTTAAATTAAAAAAACGTAATTTTTGTTGAAATTATATAATTTTTAAAAAATAAATTTTAATCAATTAAAACTAAAAAATTTAATTATAATCTACAAATTTGTTTAATATATTTTAATGTCAAATAATTTAATACTATTTAAAAATATACATATGTTAATAGTTATTGTATTTTTATTAAATAAATTCGAATCAATTATACAAACTAAATATAAATTTAATCCTAATAAATAAAAAATCAATATAAATAAAAATAGAATTGATTTTATATTTTTTGAAAAATAAAATTTAAACATGATCCTTGTCAAGTGTAAAAGGATGGGACTCAAAATGCTCTATGCATGTAGTTTCTTATTATCATACAAAATTTTTTGTATGTTGAAGGGTAAAATAAACTATAAAAATTATTTATCTATGGTAAAAATGAAATAAATTTTACATTTCATCAAAATCTTAAAAAACTTCAAGGAGAAAAGGGCTTATGAAATTATGTTATGAGAATTAAACATAAAATTTATATTACAAAAAGTAAGATTCTTGAAAGAAATTTTACTTTTACTCGAACCGAATACCCATTAGCGTCCTTGATTCATAATCATGGTAAATCATTAGACCAATGAATTGTCATGGTGGAGATTGAGTAATTCTTCTCGCTGTTTTTTTTTTTGTTTCACACTTACTTTAGTTCGTATGTTTTTTTTTTTTTTTTTGTTTAATCATTTTTTACTAAGAAAAAGGAATAAAGTTAGATAATTAGCATTTATATTTAGATAATTTGATGGTTAAAGCCGATAAAAAACTCTTGAACTATAATTAAAAGACCACCCAAACTTTTTTTTTATTACAATCAGTCAACTCTTTCAACTTTTATTTTCATTCAATAATCCCTTATTTGAATAAAATAATTAACATTATTAATTTTTTTGTTATCTAAGATAAAATTTTATCTGGTATCAATAAAATAAATAAAAATTTTTCGTATGATGTAATTAACATATGTGAAAATAAAATAAATAAAATATTTATTTTTTCTTTTCTCTTTTTCATTTTATCTATCCCTCCTTTTAAAATCCTTCTAAAAATTTAATTAACTATAACTCAAGATTTTATTGATTAAATTTTATCAAGTGACTAGATTTAATTCATTTAAGTGTTCAATTAAATCAAAATTAAAAATTAAAAATTTAATTAATTATAATAAAATATTAAAAAATTTAAGTGCATTTGTGACTCTTTGACCTAATTATATCTATTTGAAACTTGGGATGCTATTATTTCTACTAGGATATATTAATTTCCCATTGCAAATTACTAGGGTAGCCCAAAACTGTTGAAATATAAAAATGGCAGTGTTTGGACCAAAACAAATTGATCCTGGTCAGAACAAGAAAATAAAACCCGTTGAACAAGTCAGACTATTTTTTAGAATCTTGAAAATTAATTATAGCCAATTGACGTGTTGTTTTGGGCTTGGTTCTTCTCAAATTCAATGGCCAGAAATATCTCATAAAACTTCTAACCGTACTGTCTTTCAAGTCATTCAAGTGATTTTGGTGAACTCCCACCTTGAATCATTGACTTTCAAGTGATTGAAGACTTCCAGCTTAAAATGAAATGGTCCAAAATTGAAACCCCGCGTTAGGCTCTCGAGGCCCACGTCTAAGCCAATCGGTTGCATTGCGTCTATTACCCGTCGCTGCTTTTTGAACCCACAGACGAAAATCTTTCAGCAAGTCAAGGTCAGTAGCCACATATCTTTCTTAATTTCTTTCTTTCCATCTTATGTAAAATTTTAATTTCCTCCGTTTGTTTCGTACGAAAAATGATTTTTAAAAAATAATTTTTATATTTTTGGATATCTATTTGATGAAAAATTAGTTTGTTAATAGAAAATAATTTTTGATCAAAGACAAATGAAGTAACTTTTAGTAAAAATTATTTTTTAAAAAAAAATTATCTATGAACAGAATTATTTATTAATATTTTTAAGTATAATTTTACTTATAAATATATCATATTAGTAAATAATATACTATTAACAAATAATATTATAATATATTAATAAATAATATACTATTAATATAATATATTAATAAATAATATAATAAATAATATTAATTTAATTAATAAATATTATAATAATATATTAATAAATAATATTATAATATATTAATAAATAATATAAAGAAAATAAATAGTTTTATTTTAAGTATTTTTTTATAATAACATAATATTTTAATATTAAATATTATTATTAAAATATAATTATTTTTTAATATTAATAATTTTAATAATAAATAATTTCAATATATTTTAAAAATAAATAATTTTTAATATTTTAATAATTATATTAATATTATTTGAAAAAATTAAATTTTTCAAAAAATAATCAAATAATAAAAATATTTTTATTAACTCATCCAAATAATAAAAAATCTCTTTCAATTTAAAAAATATAAATATTTTTTTAAAAATATTTTTTGAAAATCATTTTCTATGTAGCTTTAATTTCTTTCTTTCCATCTCATGTAAAATTCTAAGTGTGTAACTTGCCAATTAACTCCCTCCAACCCAATGGTCTATTTTCTTTGGAAAAGATAGCACTCGAAATTTGTTGATCTCCATAGCTTAGCTTCGCATTACTAAATCTATAAACCTTTCACTTGAAACTATTCACTTGTTTCATGAACCTCCTCCAGCATGGATGCCTTCTTCCTTTTACCCTCTTCCTTCTCAATCATCTCCATCTTCCTTCTCTTAAATTTTTTTGAAGTATCTTATGCCCTGGATGATCTTCACTTTACTGGATGCAGTCCATTTAACTGTGGAAACCTACGGAATTTTTCATATCCTTTCTGGACCGATGATCAACAACGACCTTCATATTGCGGCTATGATTCTGAAGAGTTCAAACTCAAGTGCATTCAGAATCAGCCACCTGTCATGACTATGAGTTCCCAGGAATTCCTAGTGCTGTACCTCAATTCGTCTCATGGTTTGATAACAATCCAACGGGTGGAATTCGAAGAAAATACTTGTCCTCAGGAGGTTTTGATAAATAATTCTTTTAATTATTCTGACACAGCCGAAAACATTACTCTTTCTTATGGCTGCCAAAGCGGGGAATTAACAAATCATAGTTTCACTTGCAAAAAAGATGGAAGTGAAACGTTTGCTATGTTGTTTAAGAGCAATGAAAGTGAATGTGATGGTGAAAAAGTTGAAATTCCTATTGGGAACAAGGCTTTCGATGAATTCATGCGTGGAATTGCCGCTCTGAATGAAACTTTAGTTCAACCGTTTGATATTAAATACTTTGCATACGATCACTATTGCAGGCAATGCAAGCATTCGGGCGGAAGATGTGGATCCAACAAAACTTCACCGGGAACATTTGTCTGCTACTGTCGTGATCGTCCTTATCAACTTATATGCAAACGCAGCGAACCTGGTATGCCTGCTTCTTATTTCCATTCCCGTTTACCTCTTTCTGAATCATATTCGTAAACAGTCAGTCTAGAACTAGTAGAAAAATGCAATTAAATCCTTACTCTTCCTAATCAGAAACACGGAAAGCTTTCCTTTCCATGGAGGAAACCAATTGTTGTTCACTAGTCTTTTTCTGCTTTTTCCAAATTTTTTTTTTTGGCCGACAACTAGCTTTCGGTCTTAATGATCCAATCTTTTTGACGTTTGGTTCCTTGGTGGGCCTTCTAAAAAATCTGTTCTTGATTTCATCAGTAGGTTCCAGGTCAAACTTTTGAATCCGTCAATGGTCCCGGGGAGCAACCCCGAATGGACTGTTCCGGCCAACTCTTTTTGCGTCAAAGCACATCTTCTACTTCTTTTTTTTGGGCCCAACTCAAACATATGCGATTCCTCCATCTTGTTTATATTCATTCCACTACAACTCAGGTTTTTACCTTTGAATATTTTTTACTTTGGTTGACAACTCCGAAATATGTGTGTTTCTGCCTTGCGCAGGCCATCATTTCCATTCCTAAATGCAATTGAAAGGTGAGGCAAAAGTGATCTTACTTTTTCTTTCTGTTCAACCACCAAACCTTGGTTATACGTTAATTTTATTTATAAGAAGTGCCCCAGTCGCACCTATTAAACTATCTTAAACCTTTTCCCCCTCGTGTCCCTTTTAATATTGGATAGGTGTAGACTGTTTTTACTAATGTGCGATGTCCATGAGATTTTTTGTCCTTTCAGCCAATTACAAAGGGCAATTTAGCCTATTCAAATCTACTTCAATTCGTATCATTATGACATCACCATTACATGATGCTGGAGTCTTTCAAATCAAGGATTTTAGTCTAGAATTCCAGGATCGTCGTTATCAGTGACTAGAGTTTCATTTGTGAAAAAAATGTCTAATCTCGAGCTCCAGTAGAAACATGATATCAGATAGGATCTTTGAAGGCAATTAACCCCCTTAAATAATTTCCTTTGTCCTTGCATCTGCTTCGATTTCATTTAGATGCATGCTGGGAGAATTCCCACGGGCCACTGCATTGTGCATCTCATTTTATTCAAAGCTTGCATAAACTACTTTTCGATTTAAATTTATGGAGAGTAGCAACAAAGAGAACAGAGAAATGCAGCATCTTTTGCTGCATAAGTTTAAAGGCAAATGGTCTACCAGAATTGAGGGGAGTAGATACAATTTTCTTGGGTTTGAAAAACTAAAATTTTTACGTTAAGGATGTCTTAATTTGATAGTGGTTTTAAACCCAAGTTTTCTTCCATTGAAGCATTTCGAGTTTAGAGGGTAGGCCTCACCCAATCTTTAACAAATGTGTAGTTTATTGGCCGATGAAGTTTCCAAAATGGATGCATGAGATCAAGCAAACTGCACCATACTTGTGAATATGGAATGGTCAATCTAGGTAGGAAGCGATAGATGGTACAATATCTTTGCTTTTGCTTGAAATGTTGATTTGTCTTTCTCCTCCTTTTCAAACTCCAATAGCAGTCAATAAACAAATTAAAGCTAAATACCATACTCTCAAGAAGAAAATAATGATTCCAATTTCCTTCAACTGCTTCTTCCCATTTCAACACCTTTCTTGTCCTCCAGTCCATGCCATCACTTATTGCTTCCTCCTCAAATGGATCCACAAAAGCTGCTATGTTTTAGATCATTTCTCTGTATAATTGTCATCTTTTTGATCACCTTGGCAACTGAAACCCAGTCCACCGAGTCGCACTTTGAGGCTTCTGTGCCTCAAGCTGCGGTATCCATTTTGGATTTTTGAAGAACAGGAATCCTCTTGCGGTTATCCAAACTTCGAGATCACCTGCAAAGAGGAAAATTCTATAGTCAAAATTTCTGAGGACAATTGCATCATCAAAGATATATTTTACAACAACAATTCATTGCTCGATGTCAATGCTCTTGTTTATGGAGATTATTGTCCAACTCCTCGACAAAATATTAGCTTTGATCGAACTCCTTTTGGTCTAAGTCTTGATGATGTCAATCTTTCCTTTTTATTTAATTGTGAGGAGCAACAAGAGTACCATAAATATCCAGTAAGTTGTGCTAGCAATACCTTCTTCTAGATCTTTGCTGTTTTTCACAAAGAAGCTTTGGAGAATACTAAATGAAGTTTTGAGGATGGGTTTCGTTTTGAACTGGACAGCAAATAGTTGGCTGCAATTGTAGGAAAAGTGGAGGGCATTGTTCTTTCGATAATACTAATGAATTTGTTTGGTTTTGCTCGGATGGATCTCATTTACAATGACGGTAATTCCAAAGGACATTCACTCTAAGTCTACCAATGCCTACTTCCATTATTTATTCATTTATTGGTCGTTCTTTTTCGATTGCGCTCATGTCCTGCAATGGTTACTATCTTAAGTCTATGATAGCATTATATTATATTGAGTACCATTAAATCAAACAACTTTTATAGGATTCAGGATCCACTCATTGGAATAGGGTGTCCAGAAAATTTTTTCATGGACACCCCAAAATTGTTTCCTGCACACACTTTGGTAGCGGCACCATCCTGTCCCTTTTTAATGCATTTACCCCGCTGAACCCGAGGAGTTTGATGAATACAAGTATTGTTGTTGGAACATTGATACATAACTAATGGAATGCTTACTGTATCCTCATTACCCGATAAAATAATCTTCTCTGAATTGGTAAAAATGATCTTTCCCTCACGATTGGTTATAGAGGGAACCCCTGAATCTAGAGCCACTTGATGTTTCAACCCAGTTCCAACAATGCACTTCTCCAAACGAAAAAGCGGAACTGGGTGTTGTATATTAGAACTTGATTCGCGTCATTAAGTTCAATCGATAAAATTGATAAATACGTGGACAGCTATATATATATTATAAGTGAACTGGAAAAAATTCTGGATGGCCATTGATGGGACCCGTAAATTTCAGGACAAAATCAGAATCTCCTTTCTTTCGATTGTTACATGTTTTACTTCTACTTTCTTTTTTCATAGCTGAAGTTCAGAATATATAACTTGACTTAAACTGCTGATAATTGACCCTTTGTGGGATTACATATCGCTTGCAAGTGTTAAGAATTTTGATGGATTGTGTCCATCCTATTTGTCATGTTCAACTTTTCCTTGCTCTGCACCTTCTCTGTTGCAAAACCTTGTCATTAGCACAGAGAACATCTTGTTTTGTTTTAGTTTAAGCTTTCTAGATGGTTGTCCATATTGATGCTGTCGATCTCATTCCTTGAAGATACAATGGAAATGGGATTATAGCTGCAGAATCAGCAAAGAAGCATGTTGCAGACAAATATGTCTAAATTTTACCTGATAGATTTTGCCTGTTTCGTATCACACGAATCTTAACCCTTTATTTATGTTTTCAATTTTTTTTTTCTATTAATATGTTTAAATTTTACCTGATAGATTTTGCCTGTTTGGTATCACACGAATCTTAACCCTTTAGTTCTGTTTTCAATTTTTTTTTTTCTATTTCAGACCGGAATGATTTTAACTTGGGAGCAAAGCTGGCCATCGGTAATATAATCCCCTCCCTTATCCTCCTCTGTTCCATTCTTCTCTACAGGCAGTGATCGAGTTGCTGCATGAATTTTCTTTTTCTTTTTCATCAAAATGATATAAAATTTCAACATTAAACATACGCAGGTTTTGGTGCGGCGATTGGAGGCTTAATAATCTCGAGCATCGTCTTCTATTACAGGCCGCACCGTCGCCATGGAAGGATGTTTTTTAAATCATCATGTGTATCCGGAAAGAGTTCTTTTGACCGCTCTTTCATGATGGATCCTGAGATGGGTGATAGCTTTGCTGGCATCCATCTCTTCTCCTATAACGAACTTGAAGAAGCTACCAACAGTTTTGATTCTGATATGGAAGTTGGTGATGGAGGCTTTGGAACTGTATATTATGGTAAGAAAAATAAAAAGTTTCCGCGGCTAGTTCGAATCATCAGTTTGCTGAAACTCTATTGTTCTTATCCATCTTTCTCAACTAGGCAAACTTCGGGATGGGCGTGCTGTTGCTGTTAAACGCTTATATGAAAACAACTACAAACGAGTTGAGCAATTCATGAATGAAGTTGAGATCCTAAGTCGATTGCGCCATCAAAATCTTGTCTCACTTTATGGATGCACCTCTCGCCACAGTAGGGAACTCTTGCTTGTATATGAATATGTTCCCAATGGAACTGTTGCTGACCACCTTCATGGTCAACGTGCTAAACCCGGTGCACTCTCTTGGCCCATTCGCTTAGAGATAGCCATAGAGACTGCAAATGCATTGAGATATCTCCATGCTTCTGATACTATCCACCGTGATGTGAAAACCAACAATATTCTCCTCGACGACAATTTTATTGTTAAGGTTGCAGATTTTGGACTGTCTCGTCTCTTTCCAACAAATGTTACCCATATTTCCACTGCTCCACAAGGGACTCCTGGTTACGTGGATCCAGAATATCACCAGTGCTACCAGCTTACTGATAAGAGTGATGTCTTTAGCTTTGGGGTTGTACTGATTGAACTAATATCATCAAAACCAGCCGTTGATATCACAAGGCACCGCCATGAGATTAACTTGTCGAATATGGCCATCAATAAGATTCAAAACCGAGCATTGCATGACCTAGTGGATCCATCTCTTGGGTTTGAATCAGACTACAAGGTTAGGAAAATGATAACTGGAGTGGCAGAGGTGGCATTCCAGTGCCTGCAACATGAGAAAGACATGAGGCCGACCATGGCACAAGTGTTGGAGGCTCTAATGGGTTTACAAAATGAGGATTACGATAAAGGAAAGGCAGAAGAGATGGATATTTCAACAGACGAGGTTGGGTTGTTGAAGAGTGAAGCACAGCCTCCTTCTCCAGATTCTGTGGAGATAAAATGGGTTAGCAGCTTTACAACACTGAGTATAGGTAACAATAAAGAAAAGGCAGAAGAGATGGATATTTCAGCAGATGAGGTTGGGTTGTTGAAGAGTGGACCACTGCCTCATTCTCCAGATTCTGTGATGATAAAATGGGTTAGCAGCTCTACAACACCAAGTATGAGTCACTAAATATCCAGGCATATATAGAAGAGATTGTTTAACTGGTACCGTCAAACCATCCTATATTAAGAAGTGGGTAACTGTAATTTTCTTTCCCTATTTGCCTAGACCACCTTCAACAGTAAATGGATGTAAATATTATCTAGGAATTAATGTAAGAGGTCAGCTTTTGACACTTAAAAGTTTGAGCTGATTCTTGCTTTTGATCAATAACAACCCATTAAATATTAAATATATACTCTTTGTAATTTGGCAAGGTGTAATGTAACAAAGGAATTTATTCCTTAGTTTATTAGTGTTTTCTTTCATGGCATATGATCGGATAAAAGGATAAAACTGAAAGATCAGATATATGAAATTTCATTGAACTATTAAACTTTATTAATACTCTAGACAAATTAATTTCTTTTCCAGCTAAAAAATAAGTACACAGAATATTCTAATATGCAAATGTAAGATCATGATAACGGTAAGGAGGTAGAATCCAGTGGTAAGATTAGAGGAGATCAAGACAAGGGTTAGGTGGAATTTGCAAGACTTCTATGCTTCCTTCCAACATCTCGATCACCTTACTCATGGAAGGCCTGTCTGTCGGATTTATTTGTATGCACCACAAGCCGATTAATATCATCTTCCTTGCAATCTCAGTTTCTTCTCTACTCATGAGACCGAGCAATTCCGGTTCGATATTGCCTTGCTCAAGATGCCGATAGATCCAATGGGGAAAATATATCTCGCTGGTCTCACTTACCCCAACATTTACGTTACTTCTTCCTCCAGCCATCTCTAGAATCATCATTCCATAGCTATAGACATCCGATTTATGCGAAACACCTCCAACGTTTCTGCAAAATACTTCTGGAGCTATGTAACCAATTGTTCCTCTAGCTTCCAACATTGATACAATACTATCTTTCCTGGTGCATAGTTTTGCAAGCCCGAAATCAGAAATTTTCGGGCAAAAGTTTTCATCGAGAAGAATGTTATGAGGTTTTATGTCAAAATGCAAAATCCGGCTGTTGCAGCCACTGTGCAAGTATTCAAGCCCTCGAGCTATTCCGATTGCAATTCGGTAAATTTCTTCTGATGTCAAGTGCCGACGGTCCTTCAAAGTATTCTCTTCGTAAATGAATCTTTCTAAAGATCCATTGGGCATGAACTCATAAATCAAAGCTCTTTTCCGACCCTCTAAACAAAAGCCTAAAAGGGTGACAACATTAACATGAGAAGTTCGACTAATACTTGCAACCTCATTGATAAATTCTTGGCCATTTCCTTTGGATGCATCAAGCAGTTTCACAGCAACAAGGTGGCCGTCTAGTAGCTTCCCTTTGTACACACTTCCATAACCGCCTTTTCCTAGTTTTTCTTTAAATGAGTTTGTCATTTTCCTGACATCGGAATAACTGTATCTTTTAGGAGCTAAAGTTCCATTATCTCTTATGAAAGCCTCAATATCTTGATTACTCTTTGTGAACTTCCAAAGAAAGCCCGTTGTTCTAATGCGTGGGATCTTTGTTCTGAAACAGAGTGCGATGATACAGGCGATCAGTAGACAACCTGCTGCGCCACCAAAACCTGCCATATAAGCAGAAAACTGAGAGAAATCTAGCAGCCAAAAACTGAAGTGCGCTTAAGAAATTTGTTATTTATGGCGTAAAAGAATAGAAGCTATATCTTCCCTCCCCGATTGTCAAAGAGCCTAACATAGCTAATTTAGCATGTCAAAACACTTAAAAAGCATGTCATGATGTTGTTTGGAATTTCTGACCTGTAATACTAACTCTTTTATTTATCCCATAACCAATGGCCCAATTAGTACTGTGCATATAAATAATATCAAGTATATATCCGTGTCTTAAAGTGGTGTTGTATTTCTTATCTTAAGAATCAAATTTTTGTAATTTTATATTTAAATCTAATCATTTTATTCATTTTTAATTAATTTTAAATTAAATATTTAATATAATATCAGAACTCAAATTTTATATTATTATTTTTATTTATTATCACTTACGTATGTCAATGATATATTAACGTAATGTCATTTCATATATATTAAATATTAAAATTTTTATAATTTTACGTTTAAATTGAATCCCTTTATTTATTTTAAATGAGATGTTTAATGATGCAAATAATTTGTGTTACACTTTTTTTATTTATTCATGCTTTTATCAAATACATATTTTGTTTTTACTATTTGTTTTAATTTACTTTTTAGCTACTTTTTGGAAGAGAAAAAAAATAAAATAACAAGTAAACAATAGAAGTAACAATCAAAGAGAAAGTTCATAAAACTACTTAATTGTTAAAGTAATTAATAATTTATAAAACAAAAAAATAATTAAAAGGTTCGCCGAATAGAAATTGATAAACAAAAGCATATAATAATAGTAATTTTTAGAAGCTAAAATGTACAAAATGAAATTGAAATTTTGGTAACCACCAGTTTCCTTAACCTGTGAATCTCTCCACTATTTATCCCACTCTATTTTTTATAGCCATTTTCTTACTTTAATATTAAGAAAGAGGAAAAGAAAGAAAACCAGTTAAAATTCCATCTTCTTCTCTACCCTATTTTTTTCATTATATTTTTCAGTTGTTAAACGAACTTTTAAAAAATATTTAAAAGAGCCTTGGATAAACGATTTCATACCTACAGCAAGCTTTCCTGAAAGATTGAAACTGAAACGGCTTCCTGCAACAAAAGGTTATACCAATTTAGTAAATTTCAAATCACATCAAACCATTTTACGAGTAAATTAAAATCAATGTAAGTTTACAATTAGTAACGTCTAAGGATCAGTATACCCATCCAGCCTTTCGACCCTAAATTGGATATTGATTTTTAAGCTAGAATCAATCATACTCGGCATAACCTTATTAAAATATTTTCATTAATAAATAATATATTTAATTTAATTTTAAATTATTAAAATATTATTTTATTTTAATAATAAAATAATAATTAAATGAGCAAATTAAGTCAAATTGGACTTTTTTTTTTAAAAGAGGTTTGATAAATTCGATCTCATACGGCCCAAGGATACATCTATTTACGAACTTTTATAAATTTACTATTTTTTCCTTAACCTAAGAATTTAATGTTTATCATCGTACAACTTTTTAAAGTGTTCATCCTCCATCCATCTACCAATTACCTACCAAAGAAGGCATTTAACATGTACACATCATCCCACATGTATGCCACATTGCTAAGGGTGGATGACATGGTGCTAGGATTGAAGCTTTTGTTGCACTTCAAATCGCCTGTCCAATTCGATTTTTTTTTTTTTTTTTTGAAGTTTTGAGAGAGCAGCATTGCTACAAGAGATACTATATGTTAGCGAAATGTAAAGAAGGCCAAGAAAGGAAAGGCATTTTTATAAAAGTTTCCAAGAAATGGAAAGGGAGAGATAGAATGGCTGTTGTCTTTGACATATCACAAGCAGGTTAGGAAGGTTATTGAGAATTTGTTTAATTTATTGTTAGTGAAGTTTTTAAAATCTACAAGTAAAATTTAATTAAAAGAGAAAGAGATTTTATTTTATTCACTATAACTAGAGTTTTTAAACTTTATAAGTAGAGTTAGTAGAGTAGCAATTACAGCTTAAGATATATTTAAAAAGATAAAACATATGTCAATATTTTAAATTAGTTTGCGAAATTAAAAAAAAAAAAACACTAACATATCAAATATTAACTCAAAAAAATTGAAATATGTGACAGTTTTTTAAGCTACTTATAGAGTTAAAATTTATATTTTTAGGTTATGTTTGGTGTATATAAGATGATAGATAAGATAGTATGATAATCATTATATATTATGTTTGGTTTGTATTTAATTGAAAAGAATAAGATTATAAGGAGAGTTATTATCTTCTTGGTATAGAATGATTCAATCTTCCTAAAATAAAAAAAATTATTTTTAATCCATGAGATTTAACTTACATGTCCTATTATACCCTTAAAAATTATATTAATAATTTAAATTGTATAAAGTTTGAGAAAAGATAATTTTGACTAATAAATTAATTATACTATCCTAATCCTTACACGTATCAAACATAAGATAGGATGATATTATTTAATTTAATTCTATTTATAATATCATTTTATCTTATCTTATCATAATCTTGTATATCAAACATGATCTTTGTGTATAAAAATTAGTTTGTGACAATCTTTGGTAAAAGATTGAAAATGGTTTAAAATTTAAATTTAAATTTTATTAAAAGTTTGATAATCTTTATCATTTGAATAAATATTGATTAAAATTTTTTGTATATAAAATATTTTTAATTTACTTTCTATAAATTATATTTGATTTTTTAATGAATTTATCGGTTTTTTATTTTTAAAGTTTTTATATGATTGATTTTAATGGAGAATTTTAAAAAACTTATCTTACGGAACGTTTTCCACGTTCTATCCACACTAGGATGTGTTGATTCACTAAATACACTAAAAATAAAAGAATAACTTTCCAATATTTGACCCCATTCTATTGGATTTTAGAAAGACTTGAGCCTAACATTTATAATTGACACTTAATAATTTTCCACAATGAGAGAGCAGAAGAAATTAAAGATGGCTATTGACCTTGACTTGCAAAAGAAATTAAGGCATTAATGTCTACTTAAATTTTTATTCTGTCTATCAATATGCCTCAAGTTTAATTCTACATATATATATATAATATATATATATAAAATCTAATGACATTTCAATGGGCCAATTAAAATTTTACATAGAAAATCATGTGACTTTTCAACGAACCATTGATAGCATTAAGTTATTCTTTTGTTGACAAAAAAAAAAATTAAAAGTAAATCAAATATAATTCACAAAAAGATAATGAAACACAGTATTTACGCACGAAAGTAAATCAAATAGTTGTTTGAATACGGAAAAGTTTGCATTTTTTTCAACGAAACTATTTATTTAGATAAAGTAAATTTTTTAAAAATTATTAAAAATATGTATAATTGACCTATTGAACAAGTTCTATATATTCATTGGATTTGATTTTCAGCTAGCTTAATTTTTATTTAATCATTTTTCAAAGAAAATTAATTAACAAATTTTGAATTTCACTTAATTCTTGTAAAAACTAAAGGTGATCAAGAGAAACACATATTTTTGTGTACTAGACAACAAAGACAGGCAAAGAGACAGAAGTTGAGAGGTGAAACTTGGGAACAAAGAAGGCATTGACACAAATTTTGATTGGGTTGGTTTTTAAAATGCAAGATAAAAAATTAATTAATAAACAATTAAATTATTAGCATATCACCTACAAAAAAAAAAAAAACCGTTTTAATGTTACCTGTGACTCGTCGTAGGTTCAAAACACTGTTAAATCCATCTCCTCTCAGTTGTTGGTAATACTACACAGACCTTTCATCTTTGAAAACCCAACAAAACCCACCAAAATTTTGCTAAGATACTAATATAATTTTTGTGGGTTTTGTTCAAAGATGAAGAGTCTGTACGTCGTATTAACGTATTACCAACAACTAATAAGAGATGGATTTAACAGAGTGTTGTGAACTTATAACGAGTAGTAAAACTTATGTAAGTGGATCCTCCTTGTATAAAATAAATGAATAAATAAGGAGACATACCAGGTTTGCATTTAAGTTGTGAACATTCCGTGTTTCTGATTAGGAAGAGCAATGATTCAATTGCATTTTTCTACTAGTTCTAGGCTGACTGTTTACGAATATGATTCAGAAAGAGTTAAACGGGAATGGAAATAAGAAGCAGGCATACCAGGTTCGCTGCGTTTGCATGTAAGTTGATGAGGACGATCACGACAGTAGCAGACAAATGTTCCCGGTAAAGTATTGTTGGATCCACATCTTCCGCTGGAATGTTTGCATTGCCTGCAATAGGCATCGTATGCAACGTATTTCATATCAAACGGTTGAACTAAAGTTTCATTCAGAGAGGCAGTTCCACGCATGAATTCATCGAAAGCCTTGTTCCCAACAGGAATTTCAACTTTTTCACCACCACATTCATTTTCATTGCTCTTAAACAACATAACCAACGTTTCCCTTCCGTTTTTTTTGCAAGTCAAACTATGATTCGCTAATTCCCTGCTTCGGCAGCCATAAGAAAGAGTAATGTTTTCAGCTGTGTCAGAATAATTAAAAGAATTCTTTATCAAAACCTCCTGAGGACAAGTATTTTCTCCGAATTCCACCCGTCGGATTGTTATCAAACGATCAGATGAATTGAGGTACAGAACTAGGAATTCCTGGGAACTCATAGTCATGACAGGGGGCTGATTCTGAATGCACTTGAGTTTGAACTCTTCAGAATCATAGCCGCAATATGCAGGTCGTTGTTGATCATCGGTCCAGAAAGGATATGAAAAATTCCGTAGGTTTCCACAGTCAAATGGACTGCATTCAGTAAAGTGAAGATCATCTAGGGCATAAGATACTTGAAAAAAAATTAAGAGGAGGAAGATGGAGATGATTGAGAACAGAGAGCGAGAAAAGTCCATTTGTCGAGAAAGTTCATAAACAGGTGAAAAGTCTTAAGCAAAGGTTTTATAAACTGGTATGATGCTGGAAGGGCCCATTTGGTATTGCGACCCGAGTTAATTGATGGGAACCTTGAATTCAGCGGCCCGCCATCACAATGGTAAAGAAAGCCCTTAGAAGGTTACTCTGCCTTGTAGGCGTGTAATCGGGTTGTGGACAAAGACTATACGTGTTTTTAGAAAGACGTGTAACATTTGCAATTGACGACTTACAATTTTCCACTACGAGAAAGCTGAAGAAATTAAAGATAGTTATTGACCTTGACTTCAAGAAAACTTGGAGTCAAGTGGCCAGCCCCTCTTGTAAGTTATAATTGGGTATGTGAAATATATACATGAAACTAATCTCTATATAAATTACTATAATACTCTTCCTTGTATTTGATAAAAATTTAATATATTTCAAATTTATTATAATATTTTTATATTATAATTAGAAAATTCTCCTTATTTTATAATTGTTTACAAAATTATTCTCAATTAAATTACTATAATATCCTTTCTCATATTTGATAAGAATTTAATGTGTTTAAATTTACTATTATATTATCATATTATAATTATGTAAATATCCTTCTTTTTATAATTATTTACTATAATACTCTCATATTATAGTTATGAAAATACCTTTCTTTTTATAAATGGTTAAGATTTACGATAATACCCTCTTACTATAGTTATAGAAATACATTCTTCTCATAATTCATCAAAATTACTATAATGCTTTTCCTACCAAAATTAAGAAAAAGCCCTTATACCATAATTAACTAAAATCACTATAATATTCTTCTATAATAATTATAGAAATGCCCTTATAAATACTTCATAAGAAATTGACATGTGCATTTTGCTTCAAAATCAATAATATATATTAAAACAATCCTCTTGAAAATATTATAATACCCTTATATTTAGTTGATATGATATCGACACGTATCCAAATTTATAACAATATCTTTTTATCATAATTATGAAAATATTTATCTTATAATTAGCTAAAACCACTATTATATCTCCTCTTAAATGAATTACTATAATGCCCCTATTTATATTTGATAAGAATTTGATATGTATCAAAATTTACTATTATGTTATCATATAATAACTACGAAAGTACCCTCCTTTATGATTAGTTACAAAACTATCTTCTAGTAAATTACTATAATATTCTTCCTCATATTTGATAAAAATTTGAAACATGTCTAAATTTACTATTATGTTATCATATTATAATTACATTATAAATTTATTTCTATACCCTTATAATATAATTACGTAAATACCTCTCATCTTATAATTATTCATTATAATACCCTCATATCATAGTTACAAAAATATTTTCTTCTTATAATTGACCAAAATTACTACAATACCCTTCTATCATAGTTACAGAAATACCTTCATCTCATAATTTATCAAAATTACTATATTACCAATTCTACCATAATTACAACAAGGGTTAAATATAAAATAGCCCATTATATTATACATTTTATATCAATTTGGTACCTAAAGAAATAGAATTTTAGTTTGTTATTACAAATTTCTTTCCTTCATTCATTTTGATGTTTGAAACTAACGTTGTCAATCAACTTATTAACGTGGCATGAATATCTAATAAGTTGTTGACACATGAAAAAAATCTAATCAATGCCATATCATTAATTGCCACATTAGCATTTAAAATTTTCTAAAAATTTCACAAAAATTCAAAAAAATTTCCAAAAATTTTAAAAATTAAAAAAAAAACTAAAATATTTAAAAAAATTAAAAACTAAAATATTTAAAAAATTAAAAATATATATGAAAACTTAAAAAAATAAAAAAATCTCACAATTTTAACAAAAACAAAAAAATTTGAAATTAAAAAAGAGAAATTTTAATACGAATAAAATTTTGTTTAAATTAAAAAAATACAAAAACTTTAAAATTTGATAATAATAAAAATCAAAAAATTTTAAAAATATATAAAAACTTTTAAAAACTTGTAAAACTTTTTTAAAAATTAGGAAAAATTTTCATTTTTTTTAATGTTACAATTTTAATTTTTATATATTTTATTATTTTAAAAAAAAGTTTAGATTTTTTTATTATAAACACACCAATTTGTTAGGGAGTCTACTAGATTTGGATTTTGTTAATTAAGAATAAAAAATAAAAAAATAAAAAAATGAAAAAATAGGTATTTAGTTTATGTGAAATTGTTTAAACTGGTTTGAGTTAGTTTTAAGGTTGAAGTTTAAAAAGAATTGGGATTCCTATTCGGATTAGGGTTTTTTAGATCAAAATCCTATAAATATCATACCTAAATCACACAAAACACACATCAAGCAAAAAAAAAAAAAAAGTGTTTAGAAGAACTAACAACAATCTTAGAATTTTTAGGAATTTTTTCTGAAATTTTTCTTGGCAGTTTCTTTTCTAGAAATTTTTTGAAAATTTTTTAGATTCCAATCAATTTTTCGATGAAATTCATATTTTTCGACAGAATTTTCCAGTTTTCGACACTTTTTCCCAGTTTTATGTGAAAATGTAAGATAATTTAGAGAGCTCTTTAGATACATCATAACACAGTGTTGTATAGTTGTGGGAGTCAACCTTGGGTGTTTTTATTGGGCCTATTGCTATTACATATGCTCTAACTTTGGTAAGAAGACAATCCAGATGTGAGCAATTCATTCCAAAAGCCTATGGACTTAACTAGTGAAAATTTTTTTCATTGATAAATAGGCATATAGAATGATTGAAAAGATAAAAAAAAAAATATAGAAGCAAACCATCAAGGTGAACCAAAAGAGGCTTACTTATGATGTCACCCAGAATATAGTGTGTGGCATGCAAGAAGGGATAAAGACATTATGCTTCCTTAAGAATAAATATTTGGCCATTCCTCAAAACTGATTCTTTAAGATCTTTTGCTCAAAATGGAAACAGTTAAAAGGAAACTCTAAATTGAAAAAGATGAGCTGGAACTAGAAAATAGGTGATTGAAGTTAGAAATGAAAGAGAGTTTAAGGCTTTAAGAATAGAAAATCTAAAGCCTTACAAAGCAAAAAGATCAATAGAAAGCCTCATTCAATAATCTAGATATAACACATTTGTCGGTTACACCTGAGCTTGCTTAACTTTTTTAAAAAAATGAAATACTAAAAGTAAGGGTGGAAGAAGGATAAAAAGCCACTGCTTGGGCACATAAACATAGCCAGATGTTATAAGAGATAGTGGATCAACACACCATACAAGTAAAAGCCTTGTCTAATGAATACAGGGACAAGTTAAATAGAGTGAGTTGTGGAAAGGCATGTGCACAAAAAAATAAAAGACATCTAAGGCATTTGTTCAATCAACTATGTATTGCTACAAATAAAGCATTAGAAATGAAAGAAAAAGTAAAAAATTTAAAGGCTATGGTACAACCAATGGGAGCATATGAGCAATGGCTATTTGATTTTCTAGACAAGATACATAATAATTACTAATAAGCTAGGAAATTTATAAGAAGGCATGATGCTTAGGACTTTAGAATATTGCTTTGGCTTTATTATGATGTAATTTTGAAATTTTATTAAATAAAGTTTTTAATTGAGATTTCTTTAATCAATAATAGTGTGGCAAATATTAGTGCATTTCATTCATGCATTAACATATCAAACATAAAGCATATAATTTATAATAATCATATAATTATGGTACTCAAGGTTTAAGGATAGCTTTACCTAGCAGAAACCCCACTCATCGATATAACACAAGGGCCCGAGTTAGATAAATAGAGCAAGAAAACTCTCATCATCTTGAAAAGATAGAAAATGCCCAAGAAAAGTTTGAAAGTGAGCTAAGTAAAATTTTGGATACTCTAAACAAGTTAAATAAGGGGAAGAGAATAGAGGAGAATACTAGCCAACAGGACCATCCATCATAAGAGGTGATTGACCTCTTATATCCACTTAGTTTTGGTCCACTTCAAGCCCAGTCTACATAAAATGTACCACCATAACAGTTTACATACCCTGCATATCTTGGAATGCCATCAGCTTCAAACCTAAGGTATTATCATAGCTATATGAATCTTATCTTTACTGAAAAGGCAGTGAAGCTAATGTAGGTTCCTGATCTAGATAATTTGAAAGAAAAAGATAAAGAAAAAGCAAAAGTGGTTGAATCTCTAGAAGACTCAAAGATTAGTATGCTAGAAGAGAAGTTACGAGCTATGGAAGGAATTGGTTTTTATGGTTTTATAGATGTTGTCGGGCTTTGTCCGATCCTAAATGTTATTATTGCTCCTAAGTTCAAAGTACCAGAGTTTAAAAAATATGATAGTACGAAGTATCTGAAGACCCATATTACCATGTATTGTCGAAATATGGTAGCCCATGCCTATAATGAAAAGCTACTAATGCACACATTTCAAGATAGCCTTATTGGCTTTGCTACTATGTGGTATGTCCATCTGGACAAAATCCACATTCATTTTTAGAGTGATATGGCTCGTGACTTTATCAATCAATATCGACATATCATGGATTTGGCTCTTAAACATTTGTCTTTGCATAACATAAAAGAAAAGGCAAACGAGTCATTCCAGGAATACACCTAGAGGTAGAGAGATGTAGCTTTTCAAGTGCAACATCTTCTAACTGAAAAGGAAGCTACAATATTGTTTGTTAGCATTCTAAAATCTCCTTATTATTAAAAGATGATAGGGAATGCAATGAAAAATTTCATCGATATGGTGATCTCTTGTAAAATCATTGAGAATGCCATCAAGAAGGATAAATTAGAAAGAGAAAAGACATTCACTAAAAGAGCCCAAAAAAATTAAAGCTCAAGCTGTGAGCTTTGATAGACAATAGTTCAAGGGTTATCAACCCTATGCACCACATGTTTACCCTCCATATTATCCCACTGTAAATAATGTTTTCTTTTACCCATACCTACCAAATCCATAGCCATCCTACCTTTCGACCTATCAACCCCCTTTCAGACCTTAAATTATCCCAT